GCCCCAGCCCCAGCCCCAGCCTGCCCACTTCAGAGACCTGAGCATTGACTGGGGGATGTTGGTCTTAACGAAGGGAATAGCCCCCTGGGCCTTCAGCACTTTCACAAGGACCCCGTCCTTGGCCGCTGGCTTCTCCAGGAACTGTGCCAGGCCACACGTAGAGTCATGGCCCTGCAGGGAAGTGACATTAACTCCAGTCCTTGGGGGTCAGGGTAGTTACAGTGAACAGACTCTTTCCCATTCGACCCCCACCCACATCCACTCTCACACCTTCTGAGACAGTGCAGCACCTTAGGTGGATTCACAGGTGGCAGAAGAACATGGTGGTTAAGAGTTTGGGCTTCGGTTTGAACCCAGCTGCTGGGTTCAGTCTCCATTGGCCACTTTCTAGCTGTGCATCCTGGACTAAGTAACTTGCCCATGTCACACACTCAGATATTCACAGGCTCAGTGGCATGTGTGCACCCACACATACATGTACACCTGAGAATATACACCCCAGGACTCACCATGCAGTCATAGGGGTCCTTGAGACTCATGGGGACCCCATAGAGAAGGCCTCTCTCACTCTTCTTGAGCTTCTTCAATGCCTGCAGTTGTTCCTCACATTCTTCCAGGAAATCTGTCAGGCAGTTCACCTCCTGGTGCACCTTCAGCGCCTGAGCAACATTGAGGGAAACCAGATAAGGGCTCACAGTGAGGCCAGGGACAGGACATTCAGTCACCACAGCCCCTCCCTCCATCCCCACTCCAGCCCAGAGGCAGGTTTAAGTCCTGACCCTGACCCCTAACCCCCACCTCCTCTAAGTAGCTACAGAGGACACTCTCCAGACTCAGCTCTTCCGCCTGCAGCTTCTGAGCCAGCTCCACGAGGGGCAACTCCAGGATGGGCTTGGGGTCCAGGCCTGGCTCCTGTGGAAATGAGGTGGGAAGGACAGATATCAAAGACTGATCCATTCAGGCCCACTGCCACACACTCCACATCACTCCCCATACACTCCATTGTACACATGTACATGTGCTCAGTACATATCTATCCCT